TGGAGACGCGCGCAGAACAGAAACAGAAAAAAAAAAGAAAAAACACACGCATCCTTCCATACACCCCGCGGCGAGGGGTTTGGCAGGGCGGAGGAGAGAAGCCGGCGGGCCTGGTGGTCACTCATAACGAGGCATGAACATATGTAAAATATTTTTAAGACAGTGACTGTAGAGCACTCTGCTGGAACGTTGACATATGGAATGAGGACTCGGCAGGGAGAAATAGCGACTCTACTTTTCCACCTTTAACTTTCCGTTTTATTTTATAAGTGTGGTCCACGACCGTACTCTACGATTTGCAGTGATGAACCAACTTTTCGTTCTTAAAACATTCACCTCCACACACTCTGATGCATTCTAAGCCGGAATCATTATTTCCTCTTTCAAACCGAATCGCTCTCACTCTAAATCAATCATTCAACGATACACGCGTATTTCTCAGGCATTCCTCGAATTCAGACACCCAACACGACACTCGACTCGATGACATTCTCTCGCAAACGCTACGCAGCATTCACTCGGACTCAGGCAAATAACTCATTACTGCATCTCATTCACACCCAAAATCTTAAGACTAGACTAAATATAATAAATTAGACAGGGACGTGGCGGCCGCTAAATCGACGCCACAGACAATTGGGGGACCGGTGGTCCGACGGACGCTTCTCTAACGGTGGTCGTCCTTCCGGCGCGGCGGTCAGGGTTGACACCACGATAGTGCTATCAGGCGCAGCGATGGAATCGGTGATTTGTCCTCTCCCGGTTGCAGGGCAATCCGTTGGAGACACCGTCGGAGAATGGGGAGTTGAGTAGACTCATGCAAAAACGAGAGCACGATGTACTCGTTTGGATGTATTATCGGCTCGGTGTGGCAGACTGTCAGAGCGAGGTCCTGGTTGACGTTTTCCGCTGTCCTGCCATTATACAGTATTCTCTCTGTAAATGTTAAAACTTCGGGTCTGAAAAGTCACATTTACGGAATAGGTACTACATACTTTGTAGTGTGCCGAACATAGAAAAGGATAGCAACACAAAAACAAAGAGGGACTGAGTTTCGGCAAACATAAAAGACTCGTGCGTGCTCTGTCTTTTAAATTCAAAAATCAAAATTCTTTATTTTTGGTTTTTCGTGAATGAAACTTTGATTATCGTATTCGTCTCGATTTTCTGAATAAAATGGTACCAAACACGGTGTAATTAAAATCAAAATTACTTGTATAGCAAGCTGTTAGGAGCAATTCGTATCTCGGCCGTAAATGTAAAGTTTGCTGTAAGTGTGAAACCCCGAAACTTTATGGCTTGTTACAGAAGTAATTACGATCGTAATCATATCATGTTTGGTGTCACTTTAATCAGGAAAATTAGACAAATACGACAGTTAAAGTTTCATGAAAAAGTAGTAAGAAATAAGAAAATTGCAATCTTTTCCTTTGTTTGCATTAGTATGTGTCTCATCGATATTCGATTCTCGTCGTTTCGTCGACTGATCGTGTTTCATTCTTGACTGATTTTGAAGGGGGTCCCCCCAGTAGTGGGGATCAAATTTTAACATTTACGGAGAGAATACTGCATATCTAGAATATACAGCGATATATAGAAATTATATCGGTAAATTACAAACGTGACTTTGTCTCTTAATATCGAGTCATGTCATTTACTAATCTGAACCATGCTATGGCAAAAAATTGTAAGATAATGCTTAAAATACGTAACACAATGTGCATAAATTATCAACAGCGATATCATATTTGAGAAATGTGCGAAACTGCTGTTATCGCGTATGATAACAAGGCGCGCGTGTGAACAAAGACGTGAATAACTCAGGAAATCGCAAGATATCGTTACAGATCTCTATCCGGGAAGCTTCCAGCTTTCATTTAAATTTTTCCATTTTTGGTAGGTGAACCGAAGTGAAGATCATAACTTTTACCTTACATAAAGATTAAATATGTCTATGGTTTGTATCTTTTTCCATATCATTATTAAAAATAAACATCTTGTTATGTAACTTACATAATTATAATACTAAAGTATCATATAAAATACCAATAATAGTGGATGAACATAATATTTAAAAAATAATGACCAGCATTACATTAAACTTTGCCTGGAAAAATATCGGTAGTGTCCTTGAAAAGTTTTTTAATCCTTTTATTTTGTTGCGTAACGTATATACATTATTGTTTCTAAATTAAAAATGAAAAATGCAAGTTTAATTCGATAAACAGTTTTTCAGACAAACTTCCCATAAATCCATTTAAGGGTCTTATAATTTTGCGTATTGTATTTCATTTTATACAAATTTTTGATGTTATCTCCAATGTTATCTAGTGATAAACTTAGAGCGTAATAACTCTATTGTTGATTTAAATGTACATATGGGTTTTAAATCAAATGATAGTTCGCAGAATTGATATTTTTTACTATGTTTAATTACCTTTGTTGTAATTACATTTATGTTTAATTACATTTTTTTTATTCAGGGTTCGTATAGGTGTGGTCCTTGTAGAGCGGGTTTCGTTGGCAACCAAACAGTCGGATGTCATCCCAAACACATTGTTTGTCCGGATTTAGGGACTATATGCGACATCAATGCTGAATGCGCCTGCATTTACATTAATGATTATGTTTGTCGAGTAAGTACTAAAACGCAATAATGAAATCAATTTAAATTAATATATTAATTTAAAACATAGTAGCCTAATTTCTCCTATAATAACACTTGTAACAATATGGTTTCGCTTTTTTTCGGACTTCAATACTTCGTACAATGCTCATATAATCTTGCCTCTATAATTACATGCAATTTAGTACATTTTAAATTGCATTATAGAGTAATCATTTGAATTATATATACCATGCGATAGAGCAGATTTTCACTTTTAAGATGTATCCATAGAAAGTTGCAAAGTCGTATTTTTTTACGATTTAAGAAAGCAATATAGCAACGCGCGAAACGCGCGCAACGACAGTGATGCTCCGTATCAGAGTAGTCGTCCCATATCGCGCCCACATTAACGCGATAACGCTTTGACGTGGAGCACCATCGTCCTTGCATCGTTTCGCGCGTTGCTACTTTGCTTTCTGAAATCGTAAAAAAAACGACGTTGCAACTTTTTATGGGTGCATCTTAAAGGTGAAAGTCTGCTCTATCGCGTGGTATAGTTCAATTTTCCACTAGACTCTTACTTTTTAAAATAAATTGAAAAGCATACGTAAAAATTGGTGCAAAATCCATGACACTCGGCGTTCAATGACTATTTAAACATGTTTAAACATTCAGAATGCATAAAAAGTAGATATCGTTGTATTCAGGAAAATCTGTAGAATCTTTTAATACAAACAGAATCTTATGTATCTTATGTAACTAGTATGATTTATGATACTAGTTTTGATTAGTTAGATACTAGTATGTATCTTATGTAATTACCTCGCAAAATTAGTTCAAATTTTAAAAATGTGTTTTTTTTTTTCAAATTTAAATTTCTCAAAAACTGTACGTGCTGAAGAAAAACTAGTTACAGATTCGTAATCAGTGCGAAAAAAGCGAAACGTCGAAAAAAAAATTAAAATTTGTTGGACAGTGTTATTCTTACACACACACATATACATATTTACAACACGTATAAAAAGACATTTGATGCTAGGAAGAGAGAGAGAGAAAAACGTAGTGGAGGGATGATGCCGATTGCATTACTATTGGCAGTTTAGAACAAAAAGTTTGAAACGCAACGTTAAGGGAAAAGAAACAATCGCTGAAATTACTTTTTAATAGTCGTTTGCGCGTTTTCACTTGTTTATATAGGGTGTTCGACTATTGGTGGGCATAATTTTAGGGGGTGGTAGCTGGCGTGATTCTGAGCAACATTTTCCTTTACCAAAATACTGGTTAAATCTTAGTTTTTGAATTATTGACGACAAGCACTGACCAATGAGAGTACACATAGACCAGGTGCGCGACAGCGTAAACGACATCGTCGAAAGTTAAATCGAGTAATGAATTAAAAAATCTGGATTATTGTTGAATTATCATTCATTTATAAATACGAAATAACAAAATTAGTCCCTACTCATGTAATCAGAATAAATCGAATTTATTTGATACGTTTATTCGTTATCGCAAAGAAATAATAGATAAAATATGGAAAATTATTCTCGTTAGATATTGTGATGATGAAAAAGAATTCTCGTTAGATATTGTGATGATGAAAAAGAACAAATTCTTATTTTAAAAAAATGATATAACCTTTCCATTCAACAAATAAAAATTTGAATTTGAATAATTAACAAATTTACCCATTGAATCGCAAGTAATCACGATGAAAATGCATCTCTGTCACCGGATCGATCCACCGATCCTTAGTATCAGTATAAATAACAGAAACTCTCAAAAAACTCTCAAGAAACCTCACTGTCATCTTCCATTATTAGTTTACATTATCACTTTTCTTTGTCATTTTTCACTAATTTTCACTGTGAGTCCGACACGTAAATAGGACGAATGAAAACACGTGAACGAATATTAATAAATAATTTAAACTATACTATCTTGGGAGCAAGAAAACACAATTTTCGATTAACAACAACGATACATTTTATTTCAACACGTATCTTTCGACAATAAACGATGACTGTCGATCGACGCCGCAGTCGTTCAACATCGTTGCATGACAACCGTTCGCGACGTACGCCTCGCGATCGAGAACGAAATCGCGATCCGTGGCCAGTCTAACAATGTTTTCTAATATAATATAATATAATTTCGATTCCACAATTCGGATACCTTATAATGAGAATATAGCGTATCTTTAAACATACATGTCTATGAATAATCGTCCGTTTACGGGTCATGCTTATGTTGTGCAATTATTAGAAAGAGACAGTGAAATAAATTAAGAGGGCATTGACCCTGCCAGGCCATCAGCTGTTGATGCTCTGATCGGCGGATCTACCCGGTGATACAAATACTTTTTATCGAAACTAATTAATAATGAGTAAGTTTTATTTAAGTTGTTTCTGTATTTTTAAAATTAAATGTACGCAGAAATTGATTTATTTCACTTCAATGAGGTACTTTAGGTATTCTATTCCAGTTCTATCTCATTTCATAGGCAAGGTACTCATTCGTTTTGAAACGTGAATTTATTCGTTTACTTCATTAGAATAGTTGCCAAAATTAATTTTCGTGACTTAGAATAGTTGCAAAAATTAATTTTCGTGACTTTATTCTTTTTCCTTTTCGAAGGCATAAAATAAATACAATATACTTGGTCTGGGTAAACAACAACTAATTGATTTATCTCCCATTCACGAATTATGAAGAACTTAATATTATTCTTAACTTCTTAATTCATTATTCGATTTAACTTTCACCTAATAGCTTCTTGTTATACCGACGACATGCCGACGTTATACCGACGATATTGATACGTTTGTTTACAACGACGATCGGCCGTTATATTCGAAGCTGTTGCGCGCCCGGTCTATGCGCGCTCTCATCGGTCAGTGTTTTTTGCTAATAACTCGAAAATGGAGCCTCAACCAATATTTTGGCAAAGGAAAAAGCTGTTCAGAATTGCCCCACCTACCACTCCTTTTCGGTTCTTACAGTAATTGTGGGACACCTTGTATAAGGAGCGAAATTCGCAGGTGAATATCTTTCAACAATTAGGTTTATTCAATAAAATGGTGAGAATGATGAAGTCAACAAATAACAAATAATAATTACAACAAAATATGGAAAGTATATGGATTATAAATGAGTATAATGAACGACTAGATCAAATGGAACTAAATAGACTTTGATTACATAATAGCAGAAACTTAACAAATTAAATAGTACGTAATTGACGAATGTAAAATGAATCTAACGAAAATATAATTCGCTGGTTTAATGTCTTTGGAAGTTAGTGTTACGATGAATCCTACCTAAGTTCGGTTCTCTTTCAAACCTAACTACGCTTTTACAAAATGAACAAAAATTCGATGTACTAAATGCTTGTGGTTTGATATTCCTTCAAGGCTAACGCAATGACGAAATTTTACAAGATTAATATATTTATATTCTACCGCTACAACGAATTCTACCTAAGTCTTATTCCGTTTCTAAGCTTACCAAAATACGCTTTTACAAGATTAAAAAGATTGATACTGTAGCGTCCCGAAATGCGAGTCTTTACAGAACGCTTGACTCTGGGAGGAGGAGTCTTATTAAAAATCGAATTGAATTGCGAATTTATTTGTCGACGGTTACAATTTGCGATATAAAGTATGTACGTTCGCACTGGTCGAGCGATTCCTGCCGAATGAACAAGAAAACGTGGTTTTTCTTTGCAAGCTTCGACATGTCGTTTGTTTTACCTCTCCCGCCGATCGCGCGCCACGACGTGCCCCGGGGGTCATCCTGAGGTCTTACCGACTGATTTTTTGTTGATAATTATAATATATGTCGATTAATTACCATACAAATTTTTATGTTCCGCTAGAGGTCGACGCTTGGATCGAACAGATACTTTAAATCGGTTTTCGAATGTTGTGTAGTTGACTACACAAGATACGCTACGCTAAATACCCTCGTGACAAAATAATATTGTTTATTGTCGCGAGGTAGGTAATTGTCGCGAGTATAAGTGAGGTAAATGAATAAGTGCTCGCAACAGAATGTTTGCAAGAGAAGAGGTACTGTGAAACATGCGCTGTTACAGAAACGGAGGCTCGACTGACAACCTTTGTTTTGGCGCCTTTCTGCAGTATATATTTTGCTTTTCGAAGAAGGCGTAACTCCTTAGACACTAGAGGGTGGAGTTATTTTCCTCGCTGAGCCTCCCATTTTCGGCGGAGGAAAAAGTGTTGTAAATTATAATTTTGTTGGTCGAAAGTGTCCTTCCGGCCCGCGCTGACCATGTGGCCTAATCAACCGTAACGGGACATGGCTGATAGCGTTTATGGTAGGGTAGCCTATTCAGCTACGCAGTTCCAAAAAACATAAAATAATTTCGCCGACTTACAGACTTTAGGATAGGCTTAACTGCCTACACCTGAACATCTGTAAACGGTCAATGCTAATTTCTACCAACGCTGTGAACCATGTGCCGCTACATTTATTAATTCAAAATTCTCAAATTTAGATGAAATTAATGAATGTTGTACGGAACAGTTACTCTTTCTAATTTGACTCGACAACTAATTGTCCATGACCCTTTTTGTCAGAGCGCACACTGATACCCAAAACCAGATCGCTTAATTGGGGAGCCTTCTGTTCGCTAGCTGCTAAAACAACCCAACGATCAAGAGTCAGATGAACAATATTAAAACAATAGGGAGCCTGCTGTTCGCTAGTTACAATACTACCTAGAGCGAGCTCCGAGAATCTGAAGGCGCGTTAGTAATTCAACAAAAATTATGTATGAGTAGGTCAAAGCTCTCGTTTTGATGTCTTAGCTTTTCTTGGGGTTAAGCATAGCACTCTCCTAACGGAGTTTCAGATACAAGACTGCTTAAAACGGGGAGCCTGTTGTGCACTGGCTCTACTAGAACGACCCAGCGATCAGGTTTTCAAATGACGTATACCCGCTTTCCAATCAAGAATTAAGAATTGTTATGGTTGTGACCAGCGAAAACTGTTCCAGTTATACTT